ATTTTGTATACTACAGCACTAAAAAATTCAAAATAAAAGAAAAAAAATAGCTAATGACTAAGTTTAGTTAACACAACCCACTGTCAGAAGATGTTTGAACAACTGGGTGTGATACATTTCCATTTAAATTATTCTGTTTGGAAATAGTCAGCACAAGGAAACATGTAGCATTAAAAGGATAACTAATAGCTTGCAGATTCAATTTATATTTAAAATCATCATAAAGGATATTCTTAGTAAACCGCATTGTGTTAGCCTAGGGAAAAAAAAAAGAAATTGGTCTGTTTTTCTGAATTAAAGAGATCATGTTTCCAAAATTGTAGGTGACCGCAGACAGGAGGCCTCTGATTGGTCAAATCTACCTCTGCTCTATGCGTATTTCCTGTTTGGTACCTTACCGGGTGGCTTTGTTTGTGTGATCGCCATTGTGGAAAACGACTCGTGAAGATATGAGGAGGGCGAGAACGCTGGGACCCTTTTTCCACTTTGAGCCCCTCTTTTTCACCCTCATGTCCCTCCGTTGTCACACAAACTTGCCCACACTTCCTCACCGCCTCGCCTGTATCTAGACCCACAGCTAGTTTGTGATTGTTCCTCTTGCGTTGCAGCATGGAATAACATAGCGCAGACCTCGCTTCAAAATTGGGCATAAATCAAAAATACCTGCAACAAGCTCACTGCGACACATGGCTGTGGGATTATACACAGCGCTTTAAGACCATGTCCTTGGTGACTGTAAATGTATTTTTATTTGTATTGTAATTTTGTGAAGCAATTTGTGACCTCTATGTCAGTGAAAGGTGCTATACAAATAAACATTACTTACTTACTGCTTTGCTTTTTGGTCCCTTCAAACCCCCATCACCAAAAATAGATATATTGACAGTAGGACTGTGGACGTTTTCTGTGCTATCCTATGCTCTGGACTACAGCAACTTTGAATTACAGTGTACAAACTATGAGTCTTTTTCATTTATATATTTTTGCGTCATGAAAGAAAAAAGCAATGTATTAAAGTTGACCAACAGAGTGAGAGGGTAGACGTATATCAAGACCAAATCCTTGGGTAAAACAAACAAATGTAAATGACCACAAAACAGGATTAAATCATGGGTGAATGGACCTTTGCTCAAATTCCTAGAAGGCACTGACTTTGGCTGTTGAACATGCTTTGACCATTTTAATAGTTACTTACAACTAAAGATATCCCTTTTCACACACATTTATGCTCACTCTCTGGTAACATCCTCCCCACCATCACCACCCAATTTTTTTTTACTTTTTAGTAATAGTTTTGGGAAGTGGCAGCCTAGTGGTTAGGACATTGCGCTTGGAACCCAGAGGTTCCGAGTTCAAGCTCCACTCCCAGACTGCTGCTCTGGGTCCCTGAGCAAAGGATCCGCTGCACAGTGGCAGCTCACTGCTCCCCAAGGGGATGGGTTAAATGCAGAGAGTTAATTTCGTTGCTCTGTAATTGTGAGAGTGTAATGACAATAAAAGCTGGGGAAAATAAGTAAACTGATGTTCGACAACAGTTTTCGTTACCCCAGCTTTGTTGTACCACTGAGTTTGACATGTCTGAGCATGACTTACAGTACCCACGCCTTAATATTTCTTTTTTTTGTCACACATCAAACTAATGTACTGTATATATCAGTTAAAATACATCCTGTGTAAATACAAATAGCAGGTTTCAAATTAGAATGTTAATTCTTCCAAAAAATATGGAAATTTAACTGTTATATGTGAAATTATAATTGCCTCCTGAGCTTAATAACAGGTTATGTCAAATCACCTGCCATTAAAGGAATAGTACACCCAAAACATGATTAGCCTTCATTTTCTACTCACCCCCATGCTGAACAACACTCTGGAGTACTTTTTTGATATCTCAAATGCATCTGGAGATCTGGGAGGCTTCTTGCTGTCTGCTGACATTCAAGTAATGGAGGTCTATGGCGCCCGAGGCAGAAAGGTCCATAAAAGTCCACAAAAAACGTGTCAATATTCCTCCATACTGCTCGTCCAATGTATTCCAAGTGTCCTGAGTGGGTAGCATCCCGACGCGTTCACGACGCTACGGAAGCCAGCAGACCAAACCAGATGAAAGTGCGCATTCAGCGTCTGCTCTGCCGATAATGCAAGCGTGGAAGAAGAAATGTGCTGTTTACCTGTGCAAAGAAAGAAACAACGAAAGAAAAATGTCTGAGGACTTCAGTGTTGAGGAAGAGCACGAGTTCTTTGCTGAGCTGAATGCGCACTTTCATCTGGTTTGGTCTGCCGCAGTTTCCGTAGCGTCGTGAACGCGCTTTCAGGAAATCCTATACACTACTGTTTATGCTCTAAAAACATTCTAAATGACTTCGTTTCGAGTAAATTCTGGATGCTACCCACTCAGGACACTTGGAATACATTGGATGAGCAGTATGGAGGAATATTGAAACGTTTTTTGTGGACTTTTATGGACCTTTCTGCCTCGGGCACCATAGACCTCCATTATTTGAATGTCAGCAGACAGCAAGAAGCCTCCCAGATCTCCAGATGCATTTGAGATATCAAAAAAGTACTCCAGAGTGTTGTTCAGCATGGGGGTGAGTAGAAAATGAAGGCTAATCATGTTTTGGGTGTACTGTTCCTTTAAATGTTTGTAAAAAGTGGCATGGGTCTTTTCATCACTGTTAACAGACTAGAATTGTTTTACAGTAACTCAGCCTTATTGCTGGGTTTTTGAGGATGAAGGAACTTTTTTATGTCACACTGTAGTATCCTAACTGGTTTCCTGGCTTTAATAGAAAAAATTTAACAAGGTTAAAGTTTTAAGGCAATAGCATCAGTCATATTTTGATAGGATCAAAGTTAAATGGTATTTTTGACCACATTTTAAAAAAATACTATAATTACTCTGTTACTTCAAATTTTATTAGAATTAATCATTGTGATTCCATTTGAAATGAATCCAAATATATAAAAATCCTGAATTATGAATGTACATTGACATATTCCAAAGAAAATCTTTATTTTATCTTTTCTCTTTACTCCAAAGACATAAAACTAGTGTCGTATTTATATTGTTTTTTTGTTTTTTTTCTAGTGTTGCAGTCAAGACCATACCAGCCAATACCAAGGAGTACCGAGACCGATACAAGGCCAAGGCCTTTAGAGGCCTCTTGGTCTTGGTCTGGAACTCAGCCTCTAAAGGTCTTGGTCTTGTCTCGGTACTCCTTGGTCTTGGTTGATGTGGTTTTTAATTCAGCACTACTAAAAATATCAGCCTTTTTAAAACTCAATATCTTATTTGGTCAAAATTAATTTATATTTTAAGACTTCTAAAGAGCTGTCTCTTTAGTTTTTACAAACAGATAAGTCAGAGTTTCTAAAGTTTTTTTTTTTCATTAGAGGTTTCAGACATTTTGCAGTTCTATCGATTACTATCTTGTTCAATATTGAGTAGAACCCTTAATTTTTTGTTCATGTTGTTGAATCAATGGCCACACCAATATCAATTTTCAGCCATTGGGATCAAATTCACCAACAGATGCGAGTAACTTGAAGTGCTCATGCACCCCTATCACCATTTGACTTAAAGTAGCTACTTATTTATAAACTAATTATTTCAGTCACTTTTTCATGATAAAGGATTTTTTTTATTTTAGGTAAAATGGAATTATTATTTTGAAGCCAGAAATACTATCATTCAGTTGGATCAGCATAATGTTTAATTTTAACTAAATTATCTTGAAATGTCACTTCAGCAGAGAGCCACAAGGGGCTCTATAGTTAACTTAATATGTTTTAAATTTTAACTATTATCATCTTTTTTTTGTTTCATGCTTTTGTGCTCCCATGAAAGAAACTCTGGCCTTATAATCGGACACCCTTAATTTTGGAAACACCAGTAGAAAATATAAATAAAAATTCTATTAAAAAGAATATGTCCCCCAGTGATATTTTAAATAACTACCAAAAAAATCACTTTCCTTATTTAGCTTTGTTTTTAGGCATCTTCTTTATCATTAACATAACATTTTTATGAATTATGCGTGAGTTTCCAGAGAGGGTGAATTTTTGTTTTTTATTGAGTTGGGCAGGTTTCTAAACTGTGTTGGGATGAAAACTGTCAGTCAGCTCTGGTGAACCTGTCAATGAACTGCAGCACACCAGCTGCCATGGTTAGCCACCACACTATATAAGTCAATGCTACATAATTCAACTCTACTGCCTACGCACAGCGAGGTGATAAGCAACTTGACTGTCAAACAGCTCTTACAAGCAGCAGTAACTCTACCTTTTGGAGCTGCCCACCAGCACAGCCTACCAATTAGCCATCATGCTCAATCAGATACCCCCAAACATATAGATGATAACTTAATGTAGCTCTTACAACTGTTGACCAGTCTGTACAATTCCATTTGATCAGTCTGTCCCCAAACATTCCCTGCTCAAGAGAGAGGACCTCAAGGAAAGCATACTCCTCGTCTTGGCTTGCCTGGACTATCCCTAACTCTTTTGAGTAGCTGTTGCTGCATTTATGAGCAAAATCTTAGCTGGACAAGGATCCTGATCTCTGTACCTCCTACATACCAATGTCTTTAATCAACATAGTCAGAAAAATATTGGCAAGGACTAAATGTAGTTTGGAGTGTAAAGCAGTATTTTTTTTTCTCATATAAACTGATGTAAATTCTTTGTTTGTTTTGGTCAGTTTGTTGGTTTTGTCAAAAAAAAAAAAAAAACACTTACTCTTAAACTCTTGTTTTCCTCCTAATCATTTCCCCTTATGTACCAGACAATAACAGATTTACCTCCATAAATATCAAGGAAAAGTGTTCTTTTGTCACATAAAATAATACCTTTATCAGATACTTTCAAAGTGCAAAGGCTATTTAACAGACTATTTTCACTAATGTAGTTGAAACTGTATACGTTTCTGAAAGACGTGCACAATTAGCCCTTTATTCTCCGACTGTTCTTAATGTTTGTCTAACATTTTGTATTTGCAGACAGCTCAGCTAGCATCATTTCAAGACGGAGGCGGTTTAATCATCTGACCCAGGAGTTCTATGAGCTTCCAATCGTGGTGTGGGACGGTGGGGAGCCATCGCTGAGTGGCACCAGTACCTTGACCCTGCGGGTGTGCCCTTGCCAGCGCTATGGCAAGATCAGGATCTGCCAAGGAGAGGCGCCGCTACCCTACGCGGGTCTCAGCACGGGGGCTCTTATTGCCATCCTGCTGTGCATCGTCATCTTGCTTGGTGAGTTTTGGGCAGACGCTCTAGGGGGTTGGAGAAGGAAGAGACTTGTGTGGGGGAGCAAAATATCCTGGGGCTGTGGTTGGAGGAGATTGGCCGTGGAGGAGTTAGAGAGTAGGAGGGTGAAGGTGTATTTCAAGGGCAGAGATGGGGAGGGGGATGAATAGATATAGGAGGGCATTGGTGCTCTGTTGGTGCTCAGAATCTAAAATGAGTGAGTTGAAGAAAGAAAGGGTCAAATGAAAAGTATGTGAAGGACTTAAGAGAAGGGGTATCAAGAGAAAGGAGGCCAGTAAAAAGGAGAGGGTTCAGACAATTACTGAGGATATATACTGAGAAATGCATAAAGCTGAAGGCAAAGGTGTCTACTACAGGTCCTCAGTGACCTAATCCTGTATGTTTTAGAAGTTTTTCTGCCTCGACACATTAATATAAATCATCTGTTTTACCCACAGAAACAGTTAACTCAACAAACTATGATTATAATGGCTGAAAGGATATAAGAAAGTACCAAAACATTGGGGTGAAGACACACTCCTTATATTTTTAGCACCTGCTGCATATAAGAGGCTGGAAATTGCATTCTTTTTGTTAACAATTTTGTAATGATCTGTTATGCCCTTCTTAACAGCATTTTCATTATTTTTCATGGTTAGAATCATTTCCTTGTCATTAAGCACAATGATGAGCATAATCCTACTGGTTTTCTATCTTGCAACAGGAACACTGTAAAGGTGGGTGTGTTACTATTCCCACTTTGAAAGGGAAAGCAACATAAAAAAAGTGTTCGGTTTTGTATTTTCTGAAAGTTTACAACATTGATTAATTGATTAATGTTAATCATATGCATTTGTTCTGAAGTCCTAGCAAAGTTCTATAAAATTCCCAGAAGCAATATGTGCTAAAAGCACAGACAACTAATTTGTCCTCCTTTGTTATCATGGCTTTCCACCTAGAAGCAAGAATCTCTTCTTACATTCTGAAAACATTGTGATCGATTCAGATCCTAAACTGTCAAGAATTAGACAAAATTGTCATAGTGACGTATTCCAACGCTTTAAGACAAAATGGTAAAGACTAGGGCTGCAACAACGAATCGATAAAATCGA